ATATTGTTAAAATTGTTTTTATATATATTTGCATACCTATATCTTTGTGTGAACATTAGCCTTGATTGCCTGTCACTTTGCTGTTGCTGCTACACCTAAATTTTCATTGTGGGACAATAATGAATATTTTTACTCTATTCTGAATTGTTTACTTATGCATGGTCAATTTAATACCACTGAATTAACTGTGTTTTTGTAAATAAAAATAACATAGGAATCTAAAATGCTCAGAAGTTTTGAAGTACAGTTTTAGGTTGTGTTTCTAAAGATTTTCTAACCTAAAAAAACATCTTTAATATAGGGAAGATATAAGTATATTTGTAGAGTCAGTGGATTGGGGAGCATGGCCTCAGCTGCCCACTGACAGCTTTTCAGTTCCTACGTCAAGTGGTGGTTTGTTTCCAGGACAACCATGGTTCTCAGGTGAACTTTGGGACCAAAGAGGCATAGGACTGAAGGATCAATATGTTTATTTTTTTCTGTAAAATAAAATAGTAAAAACAATGTAAAGACGGCTGCGGTAACTCCACTGAATTCTTATAAACAGGAAAGCATCAATATTTTTCAATATGCCTGTTCTCTGGATTTATCCTTTACTAAATAAAGCTTTGTGTGTATGTGTATGTTCGAAGCCAATAATAATCAATATCTCTTAACATAGTTGTAACTTGCTCCATGAGAGGTTTTCAACCGGTCATTGAGAAAACAATGAGTTTGACAATGTGTATAATACAGTGAAATGTAGTTTTGCCATGCTTTATCGTGTTTATGCAAGGTTTGAAACGGACCTTGAAGCACAGAGACTGAATGTGGAAAACAGTAGAACAGTAGAAGTATAAAGTAAGAAACAAGATGAATTTATGGTATACAGGGAAACAGGGAGTAACCAGGGCAACAGCTGTAGAAGACAGATCATGTTGTGGAAGGGACCAGTAATATGTAAACATTAAAACCAGAGAGCTGTGTATACACTGAGGAAGAGGGGAGAAACCATCAGATGCAGGTGAGGAAATCAGATGATGGGGGCGGGGAACTGAGGAAGGGAACAAACTGACAGGGTCAGGGAAGCTGAATAATAAATACAGAGGAGCTAATTGGTTAAATATTCATATTCGTATTAGAGAGGAATATTGACAAAATGGAAAAATATATCTAAAAAATTGAAAAGTACTAACTCAACAAAATTAAGTAAACATATACCGTTTTTAGAAATAATTTAGCTTAGCCTAGTTAAATCAACTATGTAAATTAATCAGTACAATTCCAAATACTCACAATATCCACCCACCCATCCATCCATCCATCCATCCATCCATACATACACACATACATACATACATACATACATACATACATACATACATACATACATGCATGCATGCATGCATACATACATGCATGCATGCATGCATGAATGCATGCATGTCTCACAACAGCAGTTGCTGTTTTGAGACACAGGGATCAGCAGTTGTGTGGCCGATGTGTCATTCTTGCTGTTTCCTGACTCGTCATCACAAAAAACACTTCATGTCACAACAAGTAGTCTGCTACGTATAAGTGATTATAAAGATAGCTCATTCTGATAACATTTTGAAATGGCACATTATGATTTACAATGGAGCAAGTTTTCCCTAAACTTTTTTTCACGTCTCCGAATATTAATTGAATTCCCTCCTTTGTCTGTATTCTTCTGCAGCTCAGGCACAGAGCACTTAAGCTAAGTGAGGACGAGATCCGTGCTGCCCTCTCTCACACCGATCTGGCACAAATGTGGCAGAGGGACCTTAGGCCATTGCTGGTTACCCGGTACCCGGGCTCTGCTGGCAGCCAGGCAGTTCGGGACGTAAGTTTATTAAGCTTATTAACGAATATTTGATGTTTTTACGTTTTATTTTAAGTATGTTTATTACCCGTTTAAAGGGTGTTAATTTCAACAAGTACTTTTAATCTGACAAAAAAGCCTCATTGGAATACATATGTGTTTTTATATGTGTTTTATTGATAAAATGCGTGAAAATTAAGAACTCTCAATATTTTTGAATGTATACCAGCAGCACATTAAACAATGTGTTTAATGTGAAAAACACAATGAAAAATGAAAACAATTTCCATGTTTGTTTTTTTTTATGCAGGTTTGGTGTAAATTCAAGTTACTTGAGTTTTTACAAACACTTTGTTTGTGTGTTGACAGCATATAAAAACAACCCTCGGTTCCCTCGGAGCAGGCTGGGAAGTTACAGAGGACAGTTTCGAGTCACAAACGCCCTACGGACCGCTGCCCTTCACCAACCTGGTTGCCACACTGAACCCGTCGGCTACGCGCCACTTGGTTTTGGCATGTCACTACGACTCCAAGTACTTCCCCCCTCAGTGGCACGGGAGGGAGTTTCAGGGCGCCACAGACTCAGCCGTCCCGTGCGCCATGATGTTGGAGCTGGCACGAGCCCTGGATGAAGAACTGAAGACTCAGAAGGTAACCAAACCAGAATGTGAATTGTACCTCCACCAGATTCATTTAAAATGTTAAGATTTTGCATTGTTGGTAATGTTGAGATTTCAGTTGTATTTGGTGATTAACTAGTAAGTAGTAGTAGATACTCGTTTACTGAGTACAAATACCTGAACTGCAATGCAACAAGCTCATAATCAACGTAATAGACAATAAAATGTGTGATTATTTTATTATGCTTAATGGAGAGAGTGTTGATGTAATCTCAGAACCTCTAGATGGCAGTAAATCTTTAAAAATAGTAATAATCTAACAGGAGTTTCTTTTCTTATACCCCCACGTAGAGCTCCAACTCCAATCTGACCCTGCAGTTGATCTTCTTTGACGGTGAGGAGGCTCTTTTCCAGTGGACCTCCACGGACTCGCTGTACGGCTCTCGCCACCTGGCAGAGAAGATGGAGACCACCCCGCATCCCGAAGGAGCCGAAGACACCAACCAACTGCATGGCATGGTGAAGAGCAGTTCATCCTCCTCAATTCAGTCTACATGGGATGAGAATAACTATCCTTTCATTAATCAGTTATGACACCCTGATGGTTTTCAATAGTCTTTAGTGGGTTTCTTTAAATTTTACTTTTCGAAAAGTTGTTAAATTCTTAAATCGGTTGAACAACTGCTGTGACAGACTGGCGACCTGTCCAGTGTGTACCCTGCCTCTCGCCCGAAACGTTAGCTGGAGACAGGCACCAGCACCCCTCCCGACCCCACTAGGGACAAGAATGTATAGAAAAGGGATGGATGGATGGATGGATGGATGGATGGATGGATGGATGGATGGATGGATGGATGGATGGATGGATGGATGGATGGACAACTGAGTCATATATTAACTTTGAAATATATGACAAAATATAAATAATATCAATAATATTGTCTGATGTTAAAGTTTTCTGAAATATTTAAGTGTGTAAAAGAAAAAAAATAATGCATTATCTCATATATAGCAATCAATAGAATAGGATAATTGCATTTCTGTCTGTCTGTTTGCCAGTTGTTTGGCAACATTTTACTTACACTGGCTGGCCAGTAGGTGGCATGAGCTTCACATGCACTTCATCTTCACAACAGGGATTGAGAGCATTGACTTTCTGAGCAGTAATAATCTTAAATGAAAAATGACAACACATTTGTTGTGTTTTGATTTTTCTACGTTTACACAGAAAAATGTAAACGTAGAAAAACTGGAAAAAAATGGAACCACAGCAAAAACTAATATCAAGAAATGAAGACATTTCACAGTACGTTTTACAGAAGCTGTGGGGTTTGTGTGCATAAATGGGAGTTTGGTGTGTCTTGTGGTTAATTGTGTCATGTCTGGGAGGTGGACAATGATCACATGATGTCACACTTGAAAACACACATACAGGATGCGATTATCGTAAGATCGGCTCTGTGTCAAAGAGTTTATCTTTAGGATGCACGACAAGAGTTTCTCGTGAGAAAATCTGACTTGTCTGTGTTGTTCACCTCTCCCTTTTCTTCCCCTCTACAGGACCTGTTGGTGCTGCTGGACCTTATCGGGGCCCCTCATCCCATCTTCGGAAACCAGTTCCCCAGTACCACCACCTGGCTCACCAGACTGCAGGACATTGGTAAATAATCATTACGAATGAGTGTAGATCAAAAAATAAATACATAAATCACAAGAACAAAAGCTCTTCCCTTGTTTTACTCATGTCTGAAGACTGTCTCCACATTGTTTGCTTGTAAGAGTAAGACAGAATTGAACATGCTAATTTTTTTTTATTTTAATTTTTTTTTTTTTTTTTTTTTTTTTTTTTAAAAAATAAAAAAATATTATTATTTTTTTTTTTCGACATACACACTTTTAGGTTCACTAAAAAAGTGTT